TCTCACACTCCTTACATTCATAAGGCCTCTCTCCACTGTGACCTCTCATATGCCGCGTGAGGTTTGAGGATGTAGTAAACGTCCTCTCACACTCCTTACATTCATAAGGCCTCTCTCCACTGTGAATTCTCCTATGTTGAGTGAGGACTGAAGATTGCGTAAACGTTTTCTCACACTCCTTACACTCATAAGGCCTCTCTCCACTGTGAACTCTCCTATGCTTAGTGAGGTGTGAGGATGTAGTAAAAGTTCTCTCACACTCCTTACATTCATAAGGCCTCTCTCCACTGTGAATTCTCCTATGTCGAGTGAGGTGTGAGGACGTAGTAAACGTTCTCTCACACTCCTTACATTCATAGGTCCGCTCTCCACTGTGAATTCTCCTATGTTGAGTGAGGGAAGAAGATTGCGTAAACGTTTTCTCACATTCCTTACATTCATAAGGCCCCTCTCCACTGTGAGCTCGCTTATGTGTAGTGAGGTGTGAGGATGTAGTAAACGTTCTCTCACACTCCTTACATCCGTAAGGCCTCTCTCCACTGTGAATTCTCAGATGTCCAGTGAGCATTGCAGATTGAGTAAAAGTCCTCTCACACTCCTTACATTCGTAAGGCCTCTCTCCACTGTGACTTCTCACATGCCGTTTAAGGGTAGAAGAGTCAAAAAAAGTTTTCTCACATTCTTTACATTCATAGAGCCTCTCTCCTCTGTGAATTCTCATATGTTGAGTGAGGTGTGTGTACTGAGTAAAAGCCTTCCCACAGTGTTTACATCCATAAGACTGAGTTCCTTTGGAGATTCCCATATCATCCATGAGTGTTGAAAGATGATTTTTTTTACCACATTTCTTATACGCATAGCATTTGTTTCCTGTTAGACATTCTCCTGAAGTTTGCATATTCTTTTTTTCTTGCTTCTTAAATTGGGCAGCATTGCACTGAGTGTAAAATTGCTCATTATAGTCTAGTGTACAAAGATTCTTGGATGATTTTCCATACTGAAAACATTCCATGGGATATAAGCATCCTGGTTTTTTTAATGTAGGAGGAATTGAAATTGGGCTAGAGATCTCCGCAGTAAAATTTCCCTCATATCCTGCCCAGCATGTCACTGGAAGATATTTTCTGTTAAAAAAAAGCAGTTAAAAATAGGGTTTAAAAAAAGCATTTAAAAATAAACACTTCATCATTACCATTGAGCGTAAACATAGTTTTCCTGCTCAATTATCTAACAAAGCGTAAATTTAAGATTCTGAGTGCGATGCAACTGTTACTGTCACTGAGTTAATAAATTGTGGAGACACTATATAACTGGATGTAAGAAAAACATATTTGCAATAATCAAAGTATCATTCACATCAATTAAAAATATATAATGGCAATATTGTTATCAGATATTATTACAGATAAACACATATAGATATACAACAACATGTTGTTACACTATTAAGGTAAGTGTTGACAGTTTGAATTGAGTGGCATTTCTTGAGCCATAATTGGATTAAACAGATGAATATATATAGGATATGCATATGAATAAATAACATTATGTATTAAACATATACTTATATTGTACATTCAAATATAGATATAGATATAAACTGTGATAAATTTATTCTACTCCTAGTGACCCTAGAAGATAAAAGAGAAGTATCTTTAAGATAAGTATCATATTTCTCACAAGTTGTAGCTGATGTGGTAGAACCAGTTTGCTTATAGTTAGCAGCCTAGTGCGTAATATGATTCACCACCAGGATTGTTTTGGTGTGTACATATACACAGTATACAAACATAGATTTATATCCATCTACAAACACATGATTTGGGCCTCAAAATGTTTGTGGAAAAATTCTATTTTTTCATTAGCTTTTTGATGCCTCAACTCTATGTCTCACAATTCCCTATGATTCTGACTAACATCTACCCTACATGGCTCTGTAGAAATGCCCCTGCTGTTTTCTGAGACTGTAACTCTTTAAGAAAGTAGAAGGCCTTGTCATTCTTCCATGGAATGACAGGAATGACCACCGATCTTTTGGTTAGCAGGCCAGTGAGCAACCAGTACACCAAGTGAATTAGGTGTGGGGCTGCTAAGTGATGGTGCTGGCGGACCAAACAAAGCTGTTGTCCAGGAATATGATTAGGTGATCTTCTTCCATAAAGATTAACATCCTCAAAAAATCCTATGTAGCATTCCACTGTGTACTACTTTGCCACTATGATTTCAAATGGATGAAACAACAGAGGGCGAATATGTGTAGATCATGTGTTGCTTGTGCACATAAGGTTGATGTATATAACAACAGGTCTTTACATAAATATTTATATATAACAACATATCTCTACATATATGTGGAAAGATGTGTTATTATATAATTTCAGTTCATAGTGACTTACCCATAAGAAGATGACCAAAGAAGTTTTTCCCCAGTTATAGGCAGGTTCGAATAGACACATTTTGCATTATTAGCTGAGTGCTTAATCATCTATACCACATGTACCATATATACTGCAGTATAAACTGACCCAAATATCCAAGGCATCTAATTTTACCACCAAAACTACATTAAAAATGTGCTGAAAAACTTGGCTTATACTCAAATATATAGGTACTTAAAATGCCAAAATACTTGCTTTAGTCTCATTCCTTATACAAGGGGTTACCCCACCAAAAATGGGAAAACCTCTGCTGGGCCAAGCTTTGATAGTAGGCATGTTTCCCACGAGGGGAACATTGAGCAACTTGCTCTGAATTAGTGCACCCAGTGATGACACCTGGGAATGTTCTCTTTGGTCACAGTGAATTTTTTTATAAAAGCACTGTCACTCCAACTTTGCTTTTGTGATGGTTGATATAAGAAAACAGTGTGTGGCTATGAAATTCTGGTTCTTGGTGGGGGGAAATGTCATGGAAACTGTGGTGATGCTGAGCACAGCTACAAGGGCAGAACTATGTGGGGGGAAATTCAAGTGTACGAGTGGTTTTCTCATATCCAAAAAAGGTGAAATGTCGCTTGATGACCAACCTCATTCTGGACATCCACCAACCTCCCAAACAGACAAAAATGTGGACTCATAGTGCACCAGATCGGACTGTTAATCAAGTTTTCTATTCAGAGGTTCTGAAAAGATTGTGTAACAGCGTGCAGCCAAAAAGGCCTGATGTGTGGCAGACGGGGAACTGGTTTCCGCCACAACAATGCACTGGCTTATGCAGCCATCTCAGTGCTCCATTTTTTGGGTCAAAATACAGCATTCCTCTCTTGCCCTGTGCACCTTACTCACCTGACCTTGCGACGTGCGACTTCTTTTTGTTTCAAGAATAAAAAGGAACATGAAAGGACAGTGATTTCACAAAGTAAAAGAGGCGAAGAAACAAACAAGGTAGGTAGGTGTTCTCAGTCACCCAAATGAGTCTGAAAACATTTCCAAGAATGGAATCGCAGATTTGAAAAATATATTAAGTGTAACGGAGAGTGCTTCAAAGGTGATAAGGTTGTTTTGAAGAAAAAAAAATTGAATACATAGCTTTGAAAAAAAATTCTGATTCAGGGGGGAACCCGCTCATACATGTACTTTGTAACATAAAAAGCACTCAAACTCTGTCCTGGAGCACTGCTTTCTCTCAAGCACACGGCTCTCACCTCAAAGGCAGGCTCTGGCTGTTGCCCCGCTTTTCATGGACACGAAACTCACGGATTCCTTGTAACACGGGATCACTGGCATCGTCTTTGCACAATCTTGCCGTCACATCTTCAGGGGGTAGTTTTTCTAAACCATTGACATTTGAGAAACAGGAACAGTCACGTGAGCTGAAGTCCACAATATGAACCAACAATGAAAAGCATTAAACAGAGACAAGGGGTAGATGTTAGGCAAGAAAGATTTTGTTGTTTCAATGTTTTGACAGGTAAATTCATCCTTGAAGATTAACAAGAACAGTAATATAGATCTATAAAACTTGTAATTACAAGATCAAATTTAAAAAGTAGTGGACCCAAGGCAGGTGTAACATTAAAGATGAAAACAATATTTTTCCCTTCATGAACCCAAGTGCTACTGTTATGGCTAAAAGGAACACAGAAAGACATCCAGGTATCTGAGCAGCATTTTCGTCTTAGCCAAATGAGGCTTTTAAAGACGGGTTTATGAAATGCAATGTCTTCCATGAGGGCCGGCCAAGACTTTCCTGACACAGTGGGAGTGGATGAACAGGCTGCACTTTCTCCAGGTACTTCTCTGACTACGCTGAGAGAACAAATTAGGTCTTACCACATTTCCCTAAAACTAATTTGATACTTTGATTTTCAAGGTCTCTGGAAATAGGCAGGTGTGAATTATTTGCAAAATAACCATTTTTTTTCTCAAACATTTAATCAACACACTAAAGCGCTGGCATCATCAGCGGTACACATTGTGCTGCGAAAAGCAACCCCAACAGTTTGATACTAACGGCCTGCTCTGCTGAAGAGAGTTGGTGCTTTGACTATCTTTTAACCACAGGGGCTCTACAGAAGGGAGTAAATCAGACACTATGATTCACATGGTTGTCAGTGGCTTACACTCCAGAAGTGGAATGCCTGTTGGCTCACTGGGAGTGTGGAAGTTTCACAGACACCTGCTCACCATGGTCCTACTGGTAGGAACTGAGATACTCGCTGGGTAGCCTCCAGAAGGACGACATGCATGCTTTGACAATGTGACAAAGTGCCAGAGTCGGGACAGACTGTAATATGTATAGATGTTTCAACATGGGAAGCCTAGAATATTACTGCTCCAGAGAGAAAAGGAACTTAGTTGTCTCATTAACCAGGTGTTCCTATCCCTTAGCCCAGTGACTGGGAAAACAACCATGCGTTCTTGGTAAATAATGAATTAATTTGAAATAATGAAGCTATTCATACCTACTACAGCTAGGTTTGTGAAGGTCTCCACCATCACTTCTCTGTAGAGCTGTTTCTGAGAAACATCCAGCAATGCCCACTCTTCTGGGGTAAAATCCACAGCCACGTCCTCGGCAGCCACCGTGTCCTGAAAGAGCCCACATAATCGGTTTCATCGGAGGACTAAGCATTCGAGTATGTGCGAAAAGATAGATGAGGCTCATGATCCTGAGGAACTTCCATTTCATATGAATCTGACACATGGCTGTGTGTTCCATTAGGTCTAACTTGGGTGTAGTCATTAATCTCCTTCTCTACCTGTCCACAGTCACTTCTCCAATATGATGACGTAAGAATCTCCTGACTTCCCAATTGCCATCTACTTCTCTCTCTTTTTTTAAAAATCATTTTATTGGGGGCTTGTACAATTCTTATCACAATCCATTCATACATCCACTGTGTCAAGCACATTTGTACACTTGTTGCCCTCATCATTCTCAAAACATTTGCCTTCTACTTTAGCCCTTAATATC